TCAATGATCGATCATGTATTTTTGTATTTACAAAAGTAAACTAAACTATATGAACCACAAATACAAATAATAAAACACAAAAATTGAGTTAGGTAGCCATGTTGTATATTATGCTGTTGTATATTATAGTATGTTTATTATGATTATAGCACTAATGAGTCAACTCGACCGGTAAGAGAACACACTCTCACACCGGAAACTCTTTTTCTGCATTCCATCTTAGTCCTCAGAGTTGAAAACGCATCTGCATTTCGATTCTTAATTAAGGATAGATGTCTATAGGTCACAGCATCCACTTACCATCACGTGGACTGAGCGCTCGTTTGTCGCCATTAATCTATTAAATAAAAATATTCTGACATTTCTCTTAATTTACACCAATCTGTTTGTTATTTTAACCTTTCATTTTAAATTTTACAAGACTCCGCATGTTTAAATATTTTGTATTTAATAAATTTCCAACTGAATTGTAATAATAGTACTAAAGTTAAAAGACAATGCCCCATTCATTATAAAATACAGAAGAGATAATAATAATTTGTACCGTGGTATATTCTATTGTTTGTCCCACGCTTTTTGCGGCTGTAAAGCTGTATGTACATTAGCATACAATTCGTTTAGACACTACTGCTAAACGATACAAAATGTATATTTCCTGTCTCTAAACGTCTATAAAAAAGTGTTTTGTTATTTGTATCCCATATCTTATAATTATCGTGAAATGAAATTATCCCCTAGTACTTAATTTCTAATATTCATTTAAATCTACATATCAAATTTTTAAAATCATTATTAACTTAGGGATTACCTTTCTGTACATTCACACCAACTATTCACTTTAATAGTGAAATTATTTTATAAATATTAGAGTGACTAATGAACTAACAGACCACATGTTTAGAACTGCTGCAGCCCATTTACCACTATCACCAAAAGGTTACAGTTGCGTTATCAATTATCACCCTTGAGGCATTGAGTTATATGTACTACGTACTAGAGAAGCCATTTCAAACAAAAATTGTGTCCTACTCCGAAACGTCGGGAATATAAAAATAAGTTAATATACGCGATAAAATCCGTAAAATTAGTTTTAATTAAAAACTTTTGTGCACTAAACTATTTTATTAGAAATTAACTAAGTTTTTATTATCTGCGCGGCCAGTCGTCTATCTCAGCACGAACGTGGTCCATGTCAATATCGGCGGCTGCCTTAATCAAGGATGTCTTGAGTGACTCCAAATTGGGATGAGGCTTTGAGCACGCCTTTTCCTCCAAGTGTTGCCATATCTTGGAACCTAACGGATTCAAATCTGGACTGGAGGAGGGCCGGTCTTCGTGCCGGATGAAGTCGTATTCACGCGTCGCCAGCCAGTCTTGTGTGCTCTTTGCTCTATGAGCTGGCGCCGAATCTTGTTGGAATACCCAGTGCCTGTTATTGAACATGGTATGAGAAACAGGTTCCACAAGGTTCGTCAGGACTGTATTTTGATACACAACTGCATTCGTTTTTACACCTTTCTCACAAAAATGTACCTCTTTTAAGCCCCAATAAGAATCTCCCAACCATACCATGAGCGAGGATGGAAAATGACCTCATTGGACACGCGGAATACGGTTGCTCGCTTCTTCACTACTGTGTGCGTACACCTTATCATTTTGTTTGTTGTAGCTCTCTTCTACGGTAAAAATTTTTTTATCCGAAAAAGAATTTTCCGATATTTTTTTCCCGCGTACCGCTTCAACAAAGCGCGGCATCTCTTCATTCTCAGGTCCATTAGACGAGCATTCAAACGATGTCCTGTTTTTCTTCGATATGCCCGAAGCCCTATGTCTTCATTTAACCCCATCTGAAGGGCCAACAGTTTCTGCTTACGTTTGGGATTTCTTTGAATTCGCGCCTTCACAGCTTTTATCACTGAGTCCTAACAGATCTAGGGCGACTACTTCTTGACCTGTCATCTACACTATAGTCTTCATTGTATCGTTTGATGTTACGATAAACGAATCTTTTGGTTATATTCAAATGTTTCAGTATGTCAAAAATTTGAATTGGCGCGTAACCGCAACGATGCAACGCAATAACTGCAACACGGTCTTCTTTAAGCGTCCACTCCATATTTGAAAATGAGTAAAATTCTAAAAAGTATACAGTTTTATTTTCATGAACAATTCGAAATTCGAATTCAATAAACTTTTTTGTGGCCAGCATTCTAAAAGAAAAGTTTTTACTGTGTGACAATACTTATGACCTGACTAGGTATAATGAATATTTTTGAGATGCGCTATTTAAACTACGTCTGTCAGAATTTTTATATATCTTTATATATAACAATTACGTGTCACGTTGTTTGTCCACGATGAACTCCTAAACTACTGAACTGATTTCAATGAAATTTCGCACACTGTGTGCAGTTTGGTCGAACTTGAGAGATAGGATAGTTTTTATCCCGATAAGTGACCCTCAATTTTTTTTATTGCTAATCTCAGGAGTTTTTTTAGGAAAGCAAATGGTCGTCGGAACGGGCAGAACCACGTCTGCCTGTTCAGTTAGTATAATATATACTCCAAATTCGTAGGCTGGGGTAGGGGGGGGGGGTCTAGCTTGCTACATATTTATTTATCTATGATACAAGCAGTGTTTTGCAGATATGAGTCGTACTAGGTGCACTTAGTCCAATTCCATACAAATGCTCGATCCAACTACCTGTTCCACCTAGTCCATGAAGTGCACATAAAGTTTGGTGTTGTTGGAATACCTTACACTTTAAAGTATGCTTAATTTCTTAGTCTTTACGTACAGCCGATACGAACGTGAAAGTAATGAATAGTAATCATCCATTCATACTTGACATAGGCTTAAGACTGTCAATGTCAAGATTTATCAACATTCTAGATTGTTGGTGTATAAGATTTCAATTCATTTTTTTCAGAGTAATCCAATTTTTGTCTTTTATTTTCGTTTATTATTTTAAATATTTTTGTTTCGTTTTTTTAATTACCTGTCTACAATCATTGTTTTTTTTATATACGCGCAAAAAATCACTCTTATACCCTGTACAACATAGCTTGATCTTTTTGACAGATGGGTCTTATGATGGGAAACAGAAAATATCTAGTATTGCAAATAATAACGCATTTATATAGGTACTTGTAACTGTGATGAGATGGTGTGACTGTATGTATGTTTTAAACTATTCAAAATAAACTAATTCATTCATCAATCAATTTTATTGCACTAGACATATAAAAACATTGGGTAGGTAAGCGACGATGGGTTATATTATTCATATAATATTGAGTGAAAATCAAGGTTGAAAAATAAGATAAAATTTTCTCTTTAAACATAGTTTTTTACTGCCTGTTATTTGTGTCCCATCCGACCGGCCGATGTAATATTACAGTAGAATCATCTACAAAGAAATCATTTCAGGTCATGTCTAGGTAGATCATTGATGTACAATGAGAAAAGAAGCGGCCCAAGTGTACTTCCTTGGGGTACACCACACTTTACAAGCTGTGACTGTGACTGAACTTGACTGACTTTTCTATTTAAATCTTACTTTGAAGCAATAAAAACCACTAAGTTTTTCGGAAAATGCTTGAATCTTTAATACTTTTGTGTTGTGTCTATTTTAAAAATTTTAACAATTTTTTAAATTATTAAAATAAGAATATATTATGTTCGTCATTGCAAAGTTATGTCGATCACAAATTTAACATCTGTCAAAAAGGTCAAGCTATGTTGTACAGAGTATAAGAATGTTTAAAACTAAATTGTATATTACAAATGTTACACTCAGCCATTTGTTGGCTTTTGTCCGTTAAATGATCCCAAGTGACACTGCTTCCCTTTGAAGCTATTTTTTTTAAACAATAAACACTTTAATGTCTAATGTCTGAATAAAAAATAAATGGAAAGTTTTTTTAACCACATAACAAAACTAGGTAACAATACGGTGCCGAGCAAAGACTACAATGTTATATAGGGAAACATTTACATGAGTCTGTACCAGACACCCGACTGCATCATATGCTCTCTATTCGTATCGAGTATTTACAAGTATCTAGTGAATAAAATCTGCCTAGTATTTGGTTGAAGTCCTCGGGACTACTCCTGACTAGTCGCGAGTATTAACAGACAAAGATAGAAAGACTAAGGAATAGTGTAGTTAATAAAGGACAAAATATATTCTTATACAATACGAGTGCGAGTCGCGTTCCTTTTTTACATTGAAATATAGTTCAAATTCAAATGCTTGACACACGAATGGTTAAGGAAAACACGAGTGAGCGGCAAAGCAGACTAGTAACTACGGCAACAAAATGCTATCTCGCTTCGCCGCACTGGTACTTGTTCGATTCGAGCGGGCCGCCGCGTCGTAGCCATGAGACGCGTAGTCACCGTGGGTCTAGGTGGATCAAGTCTTTGAATATTTGGAACAGGTGTAACCTAGTCGTGTTTAATACCTAGTGCCTGGATCTGTTCTAGTATATACGCCTCATCTCATCTGTCACTGGTTTTTGACGGGAACTTGACCGGCGGCGGTTTGCTGCTCTTGTATTATAGTTTAAATAATAGTTTGAAGTGGATTTTGATATGTAAAAGTGGTGTGATTTTATGTATTAACTTTCTACTCATGTGAACTATTAGTGGAAACGGTGAAACAAGTGATGGTGATGGATTCTCAAGATAGGCTGTTTATGTTTAAGCGCCTTTAGATACCATCGCCAACTGTCAGCTGTCTGCTGGCTCAGGTTGCCGTCAAAATCTACTAAGGGCTGCACAATGTGACGCATCAACATATTGTGAAGCAGTGAACTATGAAGGAATATTCAAAATAAAAAAGACAAGGCTGTATGGCTTAGTTCCTTTGTCTACTCTTTCGAGCGAATAATAAAAACAACAATCATCTGTCACTGTCATCTCTATCCTTTCGTGAAACGCACCCTAGATCTGCGTTTAAGGTTATGTTGGGAATGCTATGATTTTTTTAGAAACAATGAGTGTAAATACGGCAGTGTTATTTCTCAGGCGAAATGGTGTCAAATCGTATGTTATTTGTATTTTTAATGATAAGATATTCATAAATTTTTATATAATTTTAGATAAGATGTTCATATATTGACAATTGACTCATTGTTTTTACAGAATTTATCAAAATGTTAAGCTGCTACAAACGTTTCAAATAAGTCAACTGACTGTTTTAAAAAACCGAAAAATTACGTATCCTAATATAATTTGCAATAACTTTTGTACTTCCCATCTTGGTAACTTTTACAACAAAAAGTTTTATTCCATAAAAGCGGCACAGCAGGATCTTGATTACTATAACGAGCATAATATAACCATTATTGGTGACAATGTCCCTAGCCCTTATAGAGATATTGAAAACTGTGATTTCCCGGAGTATATAAAAACATTTTTAAAAGATCAAGGACTTTCTAAGCCCACAATAATTCAGTCACAAGGATGGCCTATTGCATTAAGTGGGAAAAATCTTGTTGGTATTGCTCAGACAGGTACTGGTAAAACTCTTGCTTATCTTTTACCAGCAATTGTGCATTTGAAAGAAAAACAGGCAAGAAAGGGTAGAAGTCCCCGAGTATTAGTGCTTGCACCTACTAGAGAATTGGCAAGACAAATAGAAGAAGTTGGTAAAGAGTTTATATCAATGAATGTCCGCTGTTTGTGTATATATGGTGGAGCTAGTAGGGCGAAGCAAGCAGCAGAATTGCAGGGTGGTGTGGACATTTTGATAGCTACACCAGGTAGATTAAATGATTTTCTTAAAAGTAAAACAATAACATTAAGTAGGTGCACTTATGTTGTGTTGGATGAGGCTGATAGAATGTTGGACATGGGCTTTGAGCCACAAATCCGTGAGGCTTTAGAGGGTGTTCCATATGAAAGGCAAATTCTTATGTTTTCTGCAACATGGCCAAAAGAAGTGCAACATTTAGCAAAAGACTATCTAGGAGAATATGTACAGGTTAATGTTGGATCTACAGAGTTATCAGCAAACCACAATATTGAGCAGCATGTCCATATTTGTGAACAGGAAAATAAAATGGAAAAGTAAGTTACTTTTTTAATTATTTACATAGTATCTATATCTTATAAACAGTGTTTACAACTGTGTTTTTAAAACTTCTGTAATGAGTTACTAAAGTTTAATCATGTAAAATTAATCAAAATTTTTAGATTTTTGAACTTATTTAGTTATGAATGTGATCATATTTTTTTTTAAATAAGTGTTTTTAAAAAGTTCTAGCCCCAACCTCTGATGATGATAAGTGGAAAATATTTTATACTTTTTAGTTTGCGAAGTTGGTTTTGACTTTTTTTTTAGTAATTATTGTTATTTGTTTGACAGTATGTTTAATAATTTCAAACACAAAATTTTCTTATTTACATTTTGTATATAATAAAATGATGTACATTTATAACATTGACAGATTCAAAAACATTATGCATGAAATATCAAGTCAAGGGTTAGGGAAAGTCTTAGTCTTCACAAACACAAAAAGATTTGTTGATAGTTTGTCATTAACACTAAGAAGAAATGGTTGGCCTGCTGTGGGCATTCATGGTGATAAAACTCAAAACCAGAGAGACATAATTATCGACAAGTTTAGAACTGGCAAAACCAACATTCTAGTCGCAACAGATGTTGCTGCGAGGGGTCTGGGTAAGGATTTAATTACTATTTAACTTCTTTGTTGTTATTGTTTTTAATAAACCTTTAAAACCACTGCTGTATAATTCTTTTCAATTGGATAAATGACGGATTTCTAGAAAGATTGCTCATACTCATCATGTAGGACATGAGCAGTGAACAAATATATTCACATTAATGAAGCTGATCCCCATCACCTATCCGAGGGCTTTGATTAAGATATTTGGAGGTATTTTACAAGTTCCCTTACATGTTACCTATCCTTTGTCATTAATAATCTGTCTTATAGATATATTGTAAACAGATTAATGAGGTTATTGTTAAAAATAATAATTGTCTTGGAGTGAATATTTAAATTTGTTTTTTTGATTTCGCTGTGATTACTGTTTAGACGGTTTACGCAGTCTCCAACTACTCGTAGTATTGAGATCACTAAGTTTGATCTCAGTGTTAGTAGTGCTACTTGACTATCGGAGTTTATAAAGATATGAATGGTTGACATAGTGTTTTTGCAGGTTGATTTCCACACACCGAAGTATGGCGAAAATTTCTTTTTTTTTAGAGTGGAGTGGAAGTGGCATAGAAATACCCGGTTTTATATAAAATCCAACTCTGCCACCGTTGAAGTAATAACTATAGTACTTCAACTATATTTATGTTTACATAATATATACAGTGTACCACATTATACATTAAGTCATGAAGTATAGATCATTAGCAGTGCTCATCTCGACGCGACGTAGAGCAGCTTCCGTCACACGGCCTTCTCTACTTGTACTAGAAAAATGCGAGCATCCATGACTTTTACTGCCACCTGGTGGCGCCACTTAGGTATGAGGTGAAATATTTGACAGCCATCATAGCAGGGAAGTTATTTCGTTGTGAATATATAGATTAATGTTTCTTTCTAAAATAATAGTTATATTTTATAGGAATTGATAAATAAAACTACAGATATTTCTAAAAGCAGCAGAATTTAAAAAGTTGAAATTGTTAAAAAAATTATAGAATACAGCACTGAGACATTATTTTATGTATATAAATGCACTAAAAACCGAAAACATTATACTTAATTAAATGCAACTTTTTAATGATGAAGACGGTGTGTGACCGATCATCTGCGTAACAAATGAGCTCACTTTTATTAGCTAAGGTTGGCCGTCAGCTTAGTGAGCTCCACTCTATTCTTCGCTAGGTGAAACAGTTCGGCGGCACTCGCAATTCCCTTCCACTTCCGGATGTTACATAACCACGACTTTTTTCTGCGACCGACGCCTCCTATTCTGGCAACTTTTGCCATCATAATGAGTTTTAGGAGTTCGCACCTCTTGTGCCTGAGCACGTGCCGCAAATATGAGACCTTTCTCATTTTGACGGTCTGCACAAGTTCGCGCTTTTGTTCGACTCGTTGCAGAAATTCCACGTGGTAGAGCTATGCTGCAGCTATATTAATTGTATAGTTGTAGCACGAATGGGTCGGCTCGACCGGGGTAGGACCTCTCATAGAATACCAGCGTAATAATAGCAGCTTAATGCTGCTGTGTTTCGTATGGTGAGTGTAGGGCACCCTTTTTACTGGAAAAAAGCATTCCACCTTAGTCCTCACGGCTGACAACCTATCTTCATTTTGATTCGCAAACGAGGATAGATGTAGATGTCTATGAGCCACAGCAACCACTTACCATCAGGTGGACTGTTTGCTCGCTTGTCACTCTTATCCTATAAAAAAACATTCCTTACTTTGTGAGTCCAGCTAATGGCCAACATATGTCTGTATTCCAACATCTCAAAAGTTTCTATACGTTTTCGGAGGTCCTCTTTAACTGTCAACGCCTCACATCTGTATAAAAGTATGAGCCAGATGTAACAGCGTAGTAGTCGAGTGCGCAAAGAGATCTTAAGCCTGTGGTTGCAGAGTACTTTTTTCATTTTGCTAAAGATACTTCGAGCCATTTCAATTTCGGTCTTAATTTTCTGGTCGATGCTCCACGTCTCGTTTAACCACGTATCTAAATATTTATATTTTAACTCTTTCTAGTTTTCGGCCTGCTACTGTAATGTCAAAGTCGTCAAAACTATTCTTAGAAATATTAATAATATATTAATAGAGCTTCGTCTTCGAAATGTTACCCTAAGACCGGCTTTTTCACTGCACTCATTTACTCGGGTGACAATTCGCTCTATATCTTCAGCTAATGCCGCTATGAGGACTGTATCGTCTGCATATCTAATAATATTTATATTTCGGCCGTTTATTTTGACTCCACAGTCTAGGTTCTCAACCGCTTCTTCTATTATGGTTTCTGAATACAAGTTAAATAGCGTAGGTGACAAAATACAGCCCTGCCGAACTCCCCTTTTAATTTCGATATCGCCTTCTCCTCATTATCAACCCGAACAGTAACTCGTTGATTTCAATACAGATTCTGGGTGATACGTATATCCTTGCCATACGTAGCGGGTGGAAGGAAAAGGGGAGATCTCCCGCCGGACAAGGTCTTAAGCCAGGGGAGCGGCCAACGCTCCGATTGGTAGTTCGGAGCTATTCTATATATATATACCTACTGGTTAACCCGGGTTCGATCCCCGCCGGCACCAATGAAATTGTTAATTGCAATTTTAAGTGCTGATTTACCATGTGCTTGGCGGTGAAGGAAAACATCGTGAGGAAACCTGCATGTCTGAGAAATAAGAAAAAAATATTTTCGAAAACATGTGAAGTTCGCCAACACACATTGGGGCAGCGCAGCGGACATTTCCTTGCCCTAAAACCCTCCCAGAAATGAGAGGAGGCCTGTGCCCAGTAGTGGGACGTAAATAGGCTGCAACATTACTTTACTTTACTACTGCTTTAAGTCCGGAACTTTGTTAGCGCGATTTAGGCATCGATGTGTTTCGCTTGTGGCGCGACGACAGCGCCGCCACACATCTAAATCGATATTTTGTAATATTGCAATAAGGCGGTCATGCAAACCTCGATCAAAAGCTTTTTCGTAATCGACGAAGCAAAGAAAAACATTCTGCTGCATATCTGAGCATTTTTGCACCAAAACCTGTATTGCAAATAGAGCCTCTCTTGTGCCAACTCCTAATCTAAAGCCGAACTGGCTATCTGCGAGTTGTTCGTCCAATTTGACTCTTATGCGCACTGTTGCGCGTTGTTGGGCTATACTGTTGCGCGCCACTATTAATGTCTTGTACATGGCAACACTAGTTACCACTAACGCCCTCTAGTCTCGAGTAGCAGAACTAGGAGAGCCAAGATCCTTCGGGACCGATATGTACCCGAACATTCTAGATGTTTCTACAGTAGAAGGTTCTGGAAACTATCTGAGGCCCTATATAAGGCCGGTATACCACGAACCACGACCGAGTGAGTATTGAATTGGCGATACAAGCAAATACTTCGAAGCGAAATAACTGCGAACTAAAGGGATCAGTAGTACAATTGTGTTTTATTATTAGTGTGGTTTTAAATTGTAATTAGTGTTCTGTAATTAAAGTGTCAATTTTGGTAGTACAATCGGCAGTTTTTAATTGTCTCGATTCACTTTCCCGTATTTTCCTCCTTTTTCTATCAAATGGGTCTATACCGCGTCTACGTGGGCGTGTGTTTACGTGCATGTGACTGTGTGTGTGTTTCTTTTTATATGATAAGGGTGACAAACGAGCACACACTCCACCTGATGGTAATTGGTTGCTGCGGCCCATAGACATCTACATCTATCCTCTATTACAAATCAAAATGCAGATGCGTTGTCACCCGTGACGACTAGGATGGAATACCTCATTTCCAGTAAAAAAGGTCTCCGGTTCTCTACACTCACCATACGAAACATAGCAGCGTTAAGCTGCTATTTTACGCTGGTATTCTGTGAGAGCGTGGTCCTTCCCCTGTCGAGCCGACCCATTCGCGCTACAACTATACTACTAGTATAGCTGCAGCATGGCTCTACCACGTAAAATTGTATAAGCATTTCACATACATGATGTTTCATAAGAGGGCTGATCCAAAAGTAATGATAATGAAAATAAACCCAGGATTCCCTTTAAAAAAAATTCTTTATCTTGACCCTCCCAAAACGCTTCAACAGCGGCCATTACTTCGCTATCGTCTTCGAATTTCTTGCCTCGGAGGCGTTCCTTGAGCCGAGGAAAGAGGTAGAAATCACTAGGAGCTAGATCTGGCGAATAGGGTGTTCTAGCAGTTCGAATCCCGTTTCTTGAATGGCAGCCATCGCAACTGCGGCTTTGTGAGCCGGTGCGTTGTCTTGGTGAAACAGCACTCCAGCTCGCAGTTTGCCGCGTCTTTTTTCCTTAATGGCCTCCCGTAATGTTCTTATTTGGTCTGCGTAGTAAGAGCCCGTAATAGTGGCTCCCTTTTCCAAATATTCCACCATAATTATGCCTTGAGCGTCCCAAAAAACAGATGCCATAACCTTTCCCGCCGAACTTGAAACTTTGAATTTCTTTGGCGTCGGTGAGGAGGCTCGCTTCCAGGTCATCGATTGTTGTTTCGTTTCAGGATCAAAATGGTGGATCCAGGTCTCGTCCATAGTCACAAAACGGAACAAAAAATTTTCTTGATCTGCTTGGAACTTTTCGAGATTGACCTTCGAAATGTCAACTCGATTTTTCTTTTGCTCGTCGGTTAACATTCTGGGTACCCAACGCGCAGAGACCTTTTTCATATGCAACTCGTTCGCAAGGATTCTTTGAACGCTGCCATATGAGATCCCTGTGACCTCAGCTACATGCCTGATGGTCACTCTTCGATCTGCCAACACAACATCTTCGACTTTTTTCACGTTGTCTTCAATGAGGGACATGGATGGGAGTCCTTCGCGATGTTCATCTTCAGTGGATGTTCTGCCCAGTTTAAACTCCTTGGCCCAGCGTGCACCTGTAGAATATGGAGGGGCAGAGTCCCCTAATGTTTCCACTAAGTCACTGTGTATGTCTTTTGAAGACATTTTTTTCAAACAGAGGTACTCGATGACAGCTCTAATTTCGTTTTTATCCATGTTGATGTTATCTCTTTGACAGTTCGTATTCAAATGAATGTATCTCCCGGAAATCGTGATCTATTTATATGATTTTTTTAGGCTGACGTAGTGAGTATATAAACAAGCAAAAAATATTTTTTTTTGGATTTTTATGCGGACCTGAAGTAACCGATTATCATTACTTTTGGATCACCCCTTGTATAACTAAATATAAATCTACATTTTAAAACTAGTTGGTATGAACTTCGTTTAATTAATCACTAATTGTTTTTAATATAATCTTATTATTTTAGATGTTGAAGGTGTGACACATGTGATCAACTATGACTTTCCAAATACATCTGAAGATTATATCCATAGAATAGGTAGAACAGGTCGCTCACAAAATAAAGGTATTTCCCACACGATACTTACTGAAGATGATGCTAGACATGCGAAAAGTTTAATTTCTGTACTTCAAGAAGCTAATCAGGTAATACAAGATATACATACTGTTTATCATACTTTATGTAACAATTACTTAATCTTTGTATTAGTTTGTTTTGTTTGGTATTGTCATTTTGAAAATTTAAAAAATTATGCAATATTATTAGATTTTAGTGCAAGCTCTTTTTGTATTTATTAGTTTGGACTTGCAAGCTTGTTAACTCGCAGATCTAAAAATCAATGATTATTGTTTGCATAAAACATGATTCGAAATTAACATGCAGTGCGATTGTGTGAATCGTCTGGTCTCTCATCATTCTCTGGTGGGAATAGTGGTTGGTTTCGTTCGATTACAAGCCAATGTCTTTTTGATCATCATCATCATCATTACAGCACTTCACAAGTCCACTGCTGAACATAGGCCTCCCCCAAAGAATGCCACAAAGCACGGTCCTGAGCCACCTGCATCCATCGACTTCCTGCATGTCTTACCAGGTCGTCACTTCATCTCGTGGGGGGACGCCCTACACTTCGCCTACCGGTACGAGGCTGCCACTCGAGAACCTTTCTTCCCCATCGGTTGTCGGTTCTTCGAGCTATATGGCCGGCCCACTGCCACTTCAGCTTACTAATTCGTTGGGCTATGTCGGTTATTCTGGTTCTACTGCGGATATCCTCATTCCTAAGTTTATCACGCAGAGAAACTCCGAGCATAGCCCTCTCCATAGCTCGCTGAGCGACCTTGAGCTTCCTCATACGGCCAGCAGTGAAGGACCACGTCTCAGTTCCGTAAGCCATCACTGGCAACACGCACTGGTTGTACAATTTCGTTTTAAGGTTTTGAGGTATGTCTGACGAGAAGATGTGTCGTAGCTTCCCGAACGCTGCCCAGCCGAGTTGAATCCGTCGATTGACCTCTCGGTCGAAGTTGGACTTACCTAGTCGGACTATTTGTCCCAGGTAAACATACTCGTCAACAACTTCGAGCTTAGTGCTCCCAACAACTACCGGCATAGGTGTGACATGGACATTAAACATAATCTTTGTTTTGTCCATGTTCATCTTAAGACCTATCCGTTGGGAAACACTATTCAGCTCATTGAGCATAGTGCTTAGGCCCTCCAGCGATTCTGCCATAAGGACTATATCGTCTTTTTGATATTCATATCTTATTTAATTAAGATTTATTACCATAATGAAGTAACATAGTGCAGCTGCAGATTGATTTTAAACTGCAAATTATTCCCACCAGAGTTACACAATTGCACCTAGGGTTGCCAGGCGTCCGGATAAAGCCAGACATAGGGTTTTTGGATACGTGTCCTACCAGACTAGATAATACCATATTAGTTAGCTAGTTAGGCCTTTTACATTTTACCAATCACGTGGTTGGTCAGGTGACCGAGCACCGCCGTCTTCCCCACAATTCCCACCTCACGCCGCACTGTACTAGCTCGCGTCAGCCATGCCATGTCATGGCATGAACGCTGTCACCTTCGACCTTCGAGTCTTCTCTCATAAAGAAGACTGATTCCTTAAATTTTGTTGTTAAATTATTTGAAGTTCAGATATGATTTGCTGATAAAGGATTAACAAGCCTGGATTTACGTATATGAATGTTTATCATTTAAATTTTAAAACTAAGACAAATAACTTGAGGTGTCCGGCATTTTTCCTCAATTTTGCGCAAAAGTCCGGCTTACCTAGCTGCTCTGATCGTATTTCTAGTTTTAGGACCTGGAACCCCTAATAGCACTGCTGATCTGTGACTAACACTCTAACATTCGTTTATGCCACAAATTAGCGTCGAAAATCGCGGGGTAATATTCCGTAGCCTTCTTAACTAACAGTAGATTAATAATATTAAAAATGAACATGTGAAAATGATATTTTAATAAAATTTTAGGGCCTTGAAATTCTCGTGTTATAATTTCGATATCTATACAAATAAATAAAATTGAAGTGTCTGTTTGTAATGTCAAAATTACAGTTTTTTACTAAATGCATATGAAAGTAAATACGATACCTATAACTAAAATACAATTTTTAAAATTTTTGTCTGTCTGTCTGTCTGTCTGTTTGTTCCGGGTAATCTCCGAAACGGCTGGACCGATTTTGACGGGACTTTCACTGGCGGATAGCTGATTTCATAAGGAGTAACTTAGGCTACTTTTATTTTAGAAAAAGAATCAGGGTTCCGCGCAGAAACTTAAAAACCCTAACACGCGAACGAAGTCGCGGGGAACAGCTAGTATTGAATATAACTATTTAAAAATTTCGACCGAGCTACGATATCATTATTTAGTAACCAGATGCGGTCCACACGAAACAAAGTCCTACCAAAGGAATAATTTTCATTTCCATTTATTACGGGCTCAAATATTACTAGCAATCGGAAATAAGATATTTTTCTATATAGGATTTACGTTCAATCTGGTTCTCTTTGCAGACCAAAGCAGGTATAAAATATTCTTGAAATATGTAAAGAAATTTATTTATTTTGCAGACTGTACCGCAATCATTGCAAGAAATGGCTAGAAGTTACGACTTGACAAAAGAGAAAGAGCATCAAATAAAGTACAGAAGTAAACAAAACTATGGTTGGAATCCAAATAAACGGTGGAATAAATTCCGCAGTCACAAAAATTATAATAAATACGATTATTAACTTTTTTCCATTAGATCATGCATTATCCACTATATAGATTTAGTTTTAGTTGACTTTTACCATTAATGTGATTAGTTTAGCTTTATATATATATTTACTTAAAGTAATGTGTGTTTCATTTATATATAACAAGTCAATAACTAGTATGTATTAATGATTTAAAATGATAATAGTTTGCCGGCGTCTATTTTTCCGTTCGACAACAATCTGGGCGTCTTCAAGGTTCAAGGCAAGGGTTTTGTTACGAAAAGACAGTGCGATTTACCATCTAAGGCTGCATCCCCACTTACCACCAGGTGGGATTGTGTTCAAGCACTGGCTTATAATAAGTAAAAAAATAAATAAATTGGAAAGACAATTTTTTATAAAGCTAAAGTTAAGCTTGAAAAATTTTACAAATCTAAACAATTTAATAAAATAAAAATGGAAAACATATTGTGAAAACTTGCATTAATCCGATAATTAAATGCAAGTGTTCGCGCAAAACGCTGTTGTCGGATTCGACATCAGATGTCACTCGGCTCGGCGCGATTCCGGTTTGAAGTTCGGCTGGGCGTGGCACGAGCGCGCGAGTCGCGAGCGAAAAAGTCAGTCGTCTTTAATCGGTGCTGACGTGAGCACGCGGTCCATTCTGTTAGGGAACTCGGAATAATTAGGTGCGGCCCGTAAATATACGGTCTAGGATTTGTGACGCGCATTCCTACTGGAGAGCTTCCCGGGACTTATTGTGTCTGACTCAGAACCTGCATAAGTGCATTCGGCAATATTAGATAGTGCGGCCTCTGATATTCTAGAATTAACTATTGCTACGCGAAACGGTAGTGACCTTTGACCCTTTAAACTCCGTGTGCGTTTGTGCGGTAACCATTATACCCAGCGATAGTTAGTGGCTTCTGTAAGTTAGTAAATCGTACGATAGAGTTAATTGACTGTCAACGTGACGAAAGAAGAAAGTGACTGTGGACAACCTCGAAAGGCCCCCTCAAGTTGGAGCGGTGTCGACTCTCGGGCTGCTGCCGACGGCCAAGGTCTAGGTTCAATCACCATCAGTCACACCCAGATACACACCACATCACCATTCTTTCCCTTGCACTACACAACCACATGCGACCTGACCGACTCCGGAGGGACCAGTCGCCTTGGATATAGGTAAGTAAGCTTCGTCCAAATTCCTTCTGGTCGACTGGCCGTAGTATAGCGCTCCCCCATATATTTTAGTGTAATTGGAGAGATTCCACGTGGCCACATTGGGGCCCGACCTACGTCTGTTCGGGAAATCTTCAGCTCATGGGCCCCTGAGGATTGGATCCTTTAAGGGAGCAGCCGTAGGCCGTAACAGCAAGTTTTCGCGTTGAGCGCGGTTCCGGGTTCGATTCCCGGTCGATCCCGACCATAGTGTTTGATAAACATTAAACAATTCTGGTGGCAGGGAGCGTTGGTTTGATTGGTTTAATTTGTATCTACAATCACGCCCGTCCGTAATACGTACAAATATTTTTTTTGTACGTAATAATAGAATTATTTCCCTTTGTTCTTTGTTGCTTGCCTTTTTTTGGTTAGTGGGTAGATTTGAAAAGCCGCGCCCTAAGTTGCGCAAGCGGGAGTTTTCTAGAGATATACGTCATGTAGGTAGATGGTTATTTTTACGTAATCGGTTAATTATCGTTGTCGGATAGTTGTAGTGGATTACTTATCGAAGGGTCGAGGTCCGAGCTAGGCATTTTTTGTTGATCGACCGTGATGTGTATCTTCGTTTGTATTGTAACTTGTATTTGAACTAAAGAGTAGTAATTGTATTTGCGCAATTTGAATTTAACTTGAATTGATCGCACTAGTATTTGTTATTTGTTAATTTGATTTGTGTCTTTTCTTTTGTGCTAACTTGTATTTGGTTGATACGTAGTAATTCGTATTTGTGTAATTTCTATTCAACGCGATTTGATAGGAACTGCATTTATTAACTGTTAATTTTTGTTGTATTTTTTGTTTGTTATTTTTGTAGTCTGTGCTCAAGCCGCGTCGTAATTTTGCATTTAATAGTGATGACATCGCCCAAACTACTGATCCGTTGTTTGCGGACTGAGCTACGCTGGGCCACAAGCGCCCATGCTTTGATGGGTCGACCGGATAGGGTCCATAACTTGATGAAGCGGTTCGAGCAGGTGGATGCTCGAAGGGCCGCAGTGGAGGAGGCTTACGCTGAGCTCGAGGATTCGGATGTGGAGAAGGGAGTCCTGGACTCCTGCTTCGCGGACTATGAGCAGTTCTTGTGGCTCACGGACGAGTTGATCGAGGCTGAAGGCAGGTATGCCGAGGAGGCGCGTGAAGCTCGGATGAGTGACCTGTCCGAGTCCTCTCTGAAGCAGCTTCAGCCGGAGCTGTTGGGACGACTCCCAACTCTGGACCTGCCAAAGTTCTCCGGGGTCCTTTCCGAATGGCTGACCTTCGTTGGTCTTTTCGACAGCCTAGTGGACGCCCGGAGTGACTTGACCCCGAGCCAAAAGATGGTGTACCTACTGGCCTCACTGGAGGGGGAGGCCCTGGGCGTCGTCGGCCACTTTGAGATTGTCGGACGACGCCTACCAGACTGCTCGGGACCTCCTAGCCAGAAGATACGCCAACGTCCGGCGAATTGCGGACGAACATGTTAAGCAGCTTCTAAGCCTCCCGCTGCTTAGTGACCGGGCCAGACTGCGTCCGGACCTGTTGGATCCAGTCTTGGTGGCCTGTAATACGTTGAGGCGGCTGGGTTTACCAGTGGGCGAATGGGCTTTTTTGTTGCTCCGCATCGTGCTGTCCCGTCTACCTCTCGACCTTCGAATCCATTTTGAGGAGAGGTACGGCGGGGACGAGGCCTCCTATTTTCCGCCCTTCTATGACCTGCTGCGGTTTTTGGAGGAGCAGTGCCGGCAGATAGAGAGCGCGGCGGGCACCGTTGACGACTTACGAGCCGTGCCCAGTGAGAAGCTGAATCCTCCAGGCAAGTCGTCGTCAACCCCCCCCTGCTCCTATTGTCGAGCATCTGATCATCGGGTAACGTCGTGCCCGAAATTATTAGGTAAGCCGGTTCCAGCGAGGCGAACTATCGCCAAGGAGCGCCGCTGGTGCCGCTCATGTTTGGGAGGACACCTCCAGCGAGACTGTCCGCATCGGCGGCCCTGTCTGCATTGCCAGGGCAATCATCATGCCGTTTTGTGCCTGAGTGCGAACGGCGTCTCCTCTTGGGGCTCTGCCAGGCCCTCGACCCCCACGGGCGGGGGCGCTCAGCCACGCCCTCTGCCGGGCGACTCTCGGCGCCCGCCGGCCAGCCATCAGGCCCCTAAGTTTGAAAGGGGTCCCTCCCCCGACCAGTCGGGGGGTAATTCCCCCAGGGGCGGGGGTGTCATCACCCCCCCTAAGCGTGTGGAGAGGAACTTCACGGCCACTCATCGGTCCGCTGGACTCTTCTCACTCCCGTTAGCTGAGTGGCCGCGACTGGTGTACCACTGTTCCCCATTTGATGGAGGCGGCCCTGGCTAGCTGCCGCCTTAGCTCCCACCACGGCCACCTCCACTGAGCCTTAAGCCGTCAACAGTCCACTTGTCAAAATGTTCTGTTGCCGACGGCCTCAGTGAAGGCGTACAACCCGAGTAGCGACTGTTAGCGATCTCGGGTTCACGCCATGTGGCCTCCCCTTGGTGGTGGGAAGATTAGGGCCCCTCTGGAGCGTTGAATCACGCTGTCAAGGGGTATTAGATTTGGTTTGGTCGAGCACTTAGTCAAAAAATACTTGAATTAAAATTAAAAATTGCTTTGGGCTTTCCGCGAAATTTTCCTATTTGTAGCGGTTTAAATTAAAAGAATTGAATTTAATCTACTCCTTTAAATGCTACTGCATGTGTTTTGTACATATATTTAATCACTGTATTTGATTGTTGCGTCTGTTTGCTGAAAGGAAAATTTGAATTCATCTGAAATTGAATGGCGCACTATTTGAAAAATTATGTTTATGTTTATGATAGTGTTTAATCATTTTGCTTTGCGAAGAAGTAGGGCTGTCCCTTACGTTATTGTTTTGTTTAATTTGCAAGTTGACCTATGCGCATCGGTGATTAATTTGGTTGAATTAATTCTCTAGTTGAACATTGATGCTTTTGAAAAATTAGTTGAAATATGAGCATAGGACTACTTGCCTAACAGGCTAGCTAGTTTTGGAGATTATCAGATTGAAATCAGCTGCCGCACTATTTTAGTAAATGATAATATGGTGGGTGGCCTGGCTAGGCCTACTTGTTGAAAATTCATACTAGGGACTATCTGTGCGTTTCGTTTGGCTCTCTACAGACGACGTTCATGTGGAATTTGTGGGTGCGCTCTGCACTGAAGCAACTGCTGGCACAAAATTTGTCTGGGCAGCTTCGTGTAGCGTCGCTGTTTGCAGAGCTGATCCGGTCGGATTGCGGAACTAATCATAGGGGCACAGATAGGTGTTTGAAAGAGGTCGTCCGACTTCTGTCCAGTACAGGACTTATTAAAGTGCTGCAATGCCCAGGAGGCATCCAGTGGAGGCTGACCCTCCGGCTTGCCACATTAGGGCTATCTTTTGAGGCGTTGATTAGGGTTGCAAGATCTGATGGGTTGCCTAAGGTGGCCTAGTTTGGTTGCAACTTGCAACTTGCCGTCGCGACCTTGTCTCGCTGCCCGGTTTGCTCGCGGACCTAAATCCTTATGTCCGGGACGGGGGTTTGTTCGCGCAAAACGCTGTTGTCGGATTCGACATCAGATGTCACTCGGCTCGGCGCGATTCCGGTTTGAAGTTCGGCTGGGCGTGGCACGAGCGCGCGAGTCGCGAGCGAAAAAGTCAGTCGTCTTTAATCGGTGCTGACTTGAGCACGCGGTCCATTCTGTTAGGGAACTCGGAATAATTAGGTGCGGCCCGTAAATATACGGTCTAGGATTTGTGACGCGCATTCCTACTGGAGAGCTTCCCGGGACTTATTGTGTCTGACTCAGAACCTGCA